AACGAGCGGGCTGTGTCTGATGGTAGAGTTGTAACTTGTAAGAAGAAGAGGCATGTCCTCTGTGTGTAGATGTTTCTAGCATGGGCTCCAGAGTAACACGCATGATTAGAAACTTTAATTTAGAGAATCGCGCTTTCCGAGAAATAAGCAAGGCCAAACCTCAAGCAGCACCGCGACATCCAACATCCGGCAGTTTTCCACAAGAAGGAGATGCGGGTGAGATATTGTGTTGAGTATGCTAGAGTACAGTCATATAACCTGTGCTCATAAGAACTGGTGGGGGTGAAGGACCATGCCCAATGACTTACATATCCGTGACCGAAATTAGTTAAAACACTCACAACAGATGTTGTTGTTTAATTTCAAAATTAGCTTAAATCTATTTATGTATTTGTGTTTTTTATTTAAAAAAACAAATCAGTGACAACAAATATAATTGCTTGTCATACAATGTCATCCCTAGCTGTAACAGAGTGGACTGGACGTAGTTATATCCACTTTTTCCGGAGCAACTAAAACACTTCTGCTTGTTTTATCCAGTATTTAACATTTTTAAAATGTGCATTACAATATAAAAATACACAGAAGTAACTTACATGCTTTACCCCATTTTATTATGTAAGCCTGTATTCATATTTTTTTTTCAATCTGTTTATGTATGTCCTTGGATGTCAAGGCAATAAAAAAAAAAAATTCTTCATGTTTGTAAGAGAAATATTACATTGAAACAATAGGGTGATAACGAATGCCCATTCGGTTGCACTTTAACATTTAACTATAAACCTACTGACACAAAAGATCATATTTGAACTATATAACCACTTTCGTTGTTTCGTTTGCATACTTGTCTTTACATGTTGTTTGTCTACTTCTTGTCTAGTTCTTTGTTCGCATTGAGGATGACCATCTTAGACATCGGCTTTTCCCCCTCTTTAGATTTAGTTGGGACAGATTCAACACCTTGTTCTCTGTTGCTTGTAGATCCAGATATGTCCATTGAGTAGCTGTGCCAAAAAAGTCAGACCTGTTAAAAGAGGGTTTTCTCATAATTTTTCTGTTTGATCTGACGTATGTGTTTCTGTGCCAGTGACCAGCATTGCAGAAGAGATTCACCTGAAGAATGACCCACTGCTGTCAAGGCTCAAGGACGTTTATGTGGAGTCTAACAACACAGTTCCTCAGGTTTGAAGTTTGGGATCATTTCACCAACAGTACAATTATAGTCATCAGTTGTATTACTGTAGTGTCACATTAATTCTAATGTCTGGTTTCACAGACAAGGCTTAATTTAGTCCCCGAATAAAATGCATGGATGAGCTGTTTTTACTCAAACTTAAAATATGTCACTGCCATCATTTTTTGACTCAAGATGCACCTTAGTCATTTTTTTAGCCATGCTTATAAAAGCTACTTAATTGTACTAAGGCCTAATCCTGGCTTAAAGGTGTAGTGTGTATTTTTTAGCGACATCTAGTGGTTTGGTTGTGAGCTTGCACTAATGGCTCAGCCCACTGTTCATCCCTCCCTTTCGAAGAAGCTACGGTGGCTAAAACAGGACAAACATATGGTCGACTGAGACAGCAGAGAATAGCCAAAGCCAAGTTTATGTACCACAGTCCATTATAAACCACATCATGGATAAAGTTTACAAAGCCATAGTCAGGTGAGGATCAAGGGTCTTGATATATAATATAATGATAGTAATCAGTAGGGCTGGGTATTGAGACAAATTTCACAATTCGATTCGATTTCGATTCACAAGCTTGCAATTCGATTTGATTTCGACTACGATTCGATTCAATATCGATTATTTTGGATATCAGTTACAATAAATGGCAATTTTTCTCAAGGGAATCAAATCTCTTAAATGCTGTAAACTATGGTCTATATATAAAGTCTAGTTGTAGCCTACTAGGCTTCATTAGCCTAATATGAAGGTAATAATGAACTGTTTTGTAGCTATACAAAAACTCTTAAATTACACTTTTATTTATTTTTATAATAAGAAGATTATATGAAATATAAACATTTAAATGGTGGCAGTCATAAAAACTTGCCAGATTTATTCAAATATGCATTAAATATTGAAGAACACTAACGAGTGTGGACTAACGAGTTTATGTGGGTTTTCTGAGGTAAATATGACGATACATGACATTGATTACAAGCTGTTTAATTGACGTCTTTCCACGGTTGAAACGCAGATTGAGCGAATCAATGTGACATGATCCGGATTTCGATAAGTTGTACTCGATCTCTCACGCCACAGCGCCACAACGCCAAAACACTATTTATGTTTTTGAATTTCTAAAGACAATGGACGTAATTTGAAAATTGAGACTTTGTTTCATATCAATAGTAACCAAGGACAAAGATTATTGCGATTTGTTGGATGCGCGCAGCCGCGATACAATGTCTCATTCATTCAAATGAAACAGGATGACTAATCGATTCTTGAGATTTAAGAATCGATATCGGTTTGTAAAAATGAGAATCGATTAATATCGAGAAATCGATATTTATTACCCAGCCCTAGTAATCAGCTGATTGTCTCATTATTATCCTCAGAAATATTACACAATGCACCTTTAATCTAAGCCCTGTGTGTAAAATCCAGGCCATTAAAGGGTTCGTTCACCAAAAAATGATAATTATTCCACGATTATCTCACCCTCGAGCGTTTCTAAGTGTATTTGACTTTCTTTTAGCCTTACACAAGTAAAAATTATTACAATAAAATCAGTTCACCCGGAAATGAACATTAGTTTTCTCAACCTCAAGCCATCCTAGGTGTATATAACTTTCTTCTTTCACAGTCAAAGTTATATTAAAAAATATCCTGGCTCTTCCAAGCTTTATAACGGGAGTGATTGGTACCTTGGATTATTTTCGGCTTCTAAATCTAAGTTACCATTCACTCACATTATAAAGCTTTGAAGAGCTAGGATATTTTTTTAATATAACTCTGATTGTGAAAGAAGAAAGTTATATACACCTAGGATGGCTTGAGGTTGAGATAACTAATGTTCATTTCCGAGTGAACTGATTTTACTGAGATACAAATTTACCATATTTCATATAACTTAAAGTTATATGATGAAATAAAGTAAATTTGTATTACAGTAAAATGGAAAAAATTTCTGCAACAATTAATAATGCATGTTTTTTTTTGTAACTTGGAAGAGGCCAGCAATATTTCGTATCCACCGCCCACAAGCTTCTGCGTTTGAAGCGTTTCATGTAAAGTGCCCTCATGCTAAGTTCATACACTCTTTCCACTTCAGTTTGATCTGTGCCTCTGACACTTTTTCTAATGCTTTGTTCTGAGAAATTCACAGACCAAATAGAAAAGTACCTGCATTTGGTGCTTCGTGGGAGTTCATTTCGGCCATAAAACTCAACGTTAAATAAGAATTGTAGACATTAGCATGTCGTCACTAATGGATGTTGTGTCACTCAGCAAATTGACAAGGATTATAATTGGTCTGATCAGTAGTAACACTGTGAATAAAAAGTCTTAATATAAAAACTCTGTGTTAATAGAGATTTGTATCTGTCCGATATTTCAGACTGATCTCATGAAGTAGCGTGTGTATGAGACGCCAATTCGTATTTCCATTTTTGGCGTGCTATCAAGACGCATAATCGCCTTTCAGCGTGTTTATGAACGCCGTTGACTTAACGTTATATAAATATATGACTTACCTCAACCCCATCCCTAAACCTAACCGTCACTGGGGTTAATGGCATTTATGACTGTTCCCTTACCATCCTAGGTAAAAAAAAGATATGACTTACCTCAACCCCATCCCTAAACTTAACCGTCACTGGGGTTAATGGCATTTATGACTAGAGATTTGACTGCGTGTTCAGACACGCGGAATGACGCGGACGTTAATGGCGTAGACATATACGCACACACGCGGATACACGCGGATAGCTCAAAATGCGTGGAGATAACACGCCACCTGACTCGAAAGTGGTGTGTATGTTTACGCAAAAGTCATGATGTCATGTTGGATGTTTCCACCCTGGTTAATTAGTGTGGTTTGCACTAACAATTCAAAGAAATAATTAACTTTCATTGATATGATCAGTGTCTTATTCTATTTAGAGGAATGCACTTATTTATCTATGCAATAGTGCTCTAAAACCTTTTGGAGAAATAAGTGTGTTCACGCGATCCCTGTTAGAGATGCTGTGATTGATCTCGTTTTTGACGTTTCGCACATAATGTGCATGTTATTGCCAGACAGATTTCATTACTAATGGATTACTGTGGTGATGATGTATTTTTGTAGCCTAGAAATCTAGACGCACCCTAGCGGCAGCAAAAATAATTTTGCAGCAAAGTGTGGTCTAGCAACTCTCCATAGACATTTTAGCTAGAAAAACTCAACTCTGGTTGGGCCAATCACATCGTGTATAGAGTCGGCGGGCGGGCTTAACATAATGACGACAGAGTTGAGCCGGTCAGAGCAGGCTCGGACATATTCGGTTTGAAGTCGTTCATCCTCGGATGCGGCCGGCGCCGCGCGCGCTGTTACAAAAAAGCTGTGGCGAAACGATCAACTTGTCATTTTTGCTGCGCTCGTGCTGTGGCGTCGAGTATAAAGGCTTTACTCCGTGTCAACGCGCACTCTGATCGGTAAGGTGCACGGACCTCTCCCGAATCATCCCCAGCACCCCGAAGCACCACTACTCCGGCTCCGTTTCCCTCGTAAGCTGATATTAGTATTTAAACATTCTTTATGATATTATTTTTTTTAATGACACACTGTCTCTTTCTGTCTCATACACACAAAAACACACACATACTGTCTCTTTCTCTCTCACACATATGTAGGCTAGTTATAAACTCTTTTGACTTTTAATGATTCGTGTTTTATTTTTAAAATTTGTGGGTCGTGTAAAAAACAAAAAAATCCCTTATTTTGGGGATGGATTCTGGGAAATCTCCCTTATTTTCAATGTTCAATGTTGACAGCTGGACTGGATGCGGTAAAAGTTTAATATATCAACTTGCTCCGCTTAGTACGTCACCTTCTTCGTTGCTCTGATTGGCTGTAGCGCTATCCAATTGCGTGCAGAGAGAATTTGAAAGACAACCGTTTATCCCGCCCCTCGGATTGAGCCCTGTCAATGAAGAGTTTCCAGACCTAACATCTTGATGTAGGTCTGGCATGCCAGGCTAGTATTTTTGCATAAAGCCCGCCATAGCTTGTTTTCTAAGTGCGCTACCAACGTCAGGTTGTTTCTGAAATGTTTACATAAATTTTCTTTTCAAATGTAGAGTTTCTACATTTAGCTTCAACAAATGTTATCTACAAAGCATGACACGGGTAGATATGCTTACAAAAAGTACGACATTATGGATTGTCGTGTGTATTCCACATATCTTAACAGTAACGGTAGGCTTCAAAGAGATTGTGGAAGTCCTTTCTGCTTTTGGCTCCGATGTATGCGCTAAAATGTCAAGTAAACTTTAAAGCCTGCCCCAGTTCCCTCGACAAAAAGCCAAATTGGATTACTGACGAAAATAAGCTCTGCGACCAACTGAAGTTTATAATTCTTGGACGTTTTGTCCAACTTGATCATTTTCTCAAATTAACACAACTATGAATTTTGAAGCCTAAATTCAGTTGGCAGCTAATTTTTGGCTATAAGCGAACTACACTTTGGTCGCTCGACTTTGAAAACTCCAAGTCTTTTTTTTAAAAGAAAATGAGTTACTGACACAATTATTTTAACAAACTAGGTGCATGGCGCAAGTGCACTTGTGCTATGTGTCGAATGCACTTTTTTAGTTTATCAACGGGATGTGGAAATGATAACTGCGTCGGGCTGAAACTAGCAAAAAAAACACTTGTCGCACCTGGCGCTGCATTGCACCAGGTGTATTATAGGGCCCTGTGAAGCTGTGAAAGTGGACTAGTGAGTCGATGAGTTTACCTGTTTCATGTCCCAGGAGGCAACTTCTGAAATCTCCACTTGTTAGCGGCTCAGGTTGTGGTGTGCGCTGCCCTCTGCTGGTGTGACTGACTCTGTGCTCCTGTAGGGTGAAGCGGCATCCGCCCCGGTGAAGGTGGTCAAGACTCAAACCCAGCGCCGGCTGCTGAAGTTCAGTCTGCCCGGCGACCCCTATGGCTTCTCGGATGTCACTGATGTTCCCAAAGGAAAACTGACGCTTGTGGAAGCTTTAACCGGCCTGAACAACCACAAACGCATGCCTAAAACATGGACTCCGGAGAAGCTGGCACTAGAGTTCTCTCTGGATCCCAAAGATGCCGAAGCGCTGACAGGTTTCTTTTTTCCCTTTGACGTCAAAATCATTCCACCAAAATCCAAGGAGACGAAGCAGATTAAGGATTCTTAGCACACGTGAGCGCCGTTCTGTACAGACTCGAGTCGTCGCTGAAATGCACAATGGATAATTGCCTCAATATAAGTGTTTTGACATTTTGATTGTGTATAGTGTTGAAGGGCCTGTCTATTTATTTAGTTTGTCTTAAGCGTGGCATGTCCCAATGATCAATTTAAGATCAATTAATGTAAATGTTTCTGGAAATATGATGTCATATCAGTGATCGTATCAGTACAGATTATATTTCTCGATAAAGAAATGCTATACTATGTTTGCTGTTAGACAATAAATCAGCTGCCCTTGCATTTTGACCCAGTGAACTGAATTAAACAAGGTTGTACAAGGTGAAATAATGACTATGTGCCATACTTTTTGCACTCCTAGTGAATTTCTGAATGTCCTGTAAAGAGCACATTGAGGGCTTTCAGAGATACCAAATGTTTGGAGGATTCGCCATGACACTTAACTTCTCTTTGTTCAAAATGACCGGCATTAATTTAATGATCAAATTTAGCACTCTTATGGAAATATGATCATATTTAAGTGTAACTATCATTTCAATCTGACTCCTTTTCAGATTGTTTGTCATTAATCTACATCTAAGTTCAATATAATCAAAATATGACCGTTACAAAACAGGGCATTGATTTCAAACATGTCCACTAGAGGACACTGTACATCATGTTTATCAGGCATTTTGAGAGCCACACGTCATGATATATCAATATTCAATATATGTATGAAATATTAGATATTATTATGAAAATGTTGGTCCCATTAGAATATTATAATTCCCATTATTACACTACTTTTTTCATTACATTTTGCAAGAACACATTAATATGCTAATACACTATACATTGTATTGAATGGGAAAACCCAGTTATGGCCCTTTTACCCACATATTGCTTAACGTAAAATGGTATATCAATTAATTCTGCTTTATCTTTCATAACATAGATGAAAATCATCTTTATACAAAGTTTGAAACCTAAAAGAAAATCCAATTGTTTTTGCTTATAAATATGTAATTTCGTGTCCTTTTATTTTTTTTAACAACTGAGTTCATAGCATAACATGAGAAAAAAAAACATTTTATATTCATATCATGAACAAATTTGACCCCTTAAAGATAGTTTTTTTTTTTTTAAATGTTTCGTTAGCAGCAGATTTTTTTTTCCGTGTGCGCATTTCGAGTTAAAGTTTTATATGGTTTCGTTTCGCTCACTAAATCAGAACACTGCTTTTCTGCGTCTGTTGTTCATTTCACTTTGTTTTATATTTCGAAACCACTGAACACAGTACACAGCTCCCCTCCCATTGATTGATTGATAGACCCGTCCCGCCCATAGGTCCCGCCCGCCGCCGCAAGCCCGCAACCAAACCCTCAACGGCTCTGACCAAACCCAGCTGCACCGACTGCGGTCATTGGCCACAGTGAGAACACCAGTGGGCGATTCCTGCGTTCTCATTGGTCAACGGCGTGTCAATCAAACCCGGCATTGAAATGTCATTGGTTTCCTCTCTGCGTGTGGTGAATGCGGAGACAGCGCGAGCGTCACGGTGTGTTTGGGGTGCATACATAGAAATGAGAAACGAGACGCGGGTACAAAATGTATCATGCATTTCTCTCCGTTTAAAATGAGCGTTTGCATTCGGAAAAATAGCGAAGCAGTTTAAAGCAGTTTTCTCAGTGCTTTTTTGATTACTAAGATTAGACATCTGTTTACGCGGGGTTTTCTGATTGATTCATTACGCTAAAACGGGCAGCATTGAAATTTTTTAAACGTTTAACGTTAGTTTTTTTAAACCGAAGCCGTGCCAGTCTAGTTTTATACCAATACGCATTTAATATCTGTAAATAAGTCTTTTATGTGGAAATGTTGTGTTGTCGGAGCTTCAAACATCTGGCGAGAGAAGGATGTGAATCTGAATCTCAGCGAATAATGATGTGAATGATGCGGCATCCTTTATTTCAAACAAGACACAGAGGAGAATCAAGGTAATTAAAACACCAACTTTATTAATGATTGTGTTCAGAGAGCACTATATAACATTTTAAATATGATTGTCATGTTCTCTACACTTTCCTCCATTTTAAATCAGTTGATTCACTTTCAAGGTGAATCTTTCAGATCCTAAATTGAAAGCAATTTGCAAGGCAAGATTTTGTCTGGGTGAATATAACATCAGAGCAAAAAAAAAAAAAAGTCAATTTCTAAGGAGTCAAAAGTGTAATAAGATTCATATCTCTGCAATTGTTTCCCCATCTATTTATCAGAGATGAAAATCTGGAGCCTTTGATCCAGAAAGTATCTTGATTCATCTATTTTCTTCTTCTGGTCTGGCCTAGGCCTTTCTCGGTCTCAAAAGTGCAGCTTTTGGAAATGGAAGAATGTTTTAGGTTCGCAACATCAAACAGTCTTACTGTTGAGGCCTCTTGAAGTGATTGTGCTTCATAATGGAGGGATGCATTTCCCAAGCATAATGAAGAGACACTTAATCATTTTATTCCTGTTGCTAGGATCCACAAGTTCAGTATACACGACTGTCTGCTGTCACTATGGTTTCAGCTGATACTGTACCACTGATAGTCTGCTGTAAGATGCTTTCCACTTCAGTTTGACTTCTTACCAGTGTTGTAGTCGAGACCACCTCACTTGAGTCCGAGTCGAGACCGAGACCAGAGAGAGTCGAGTCCGAGTCCATAGAGAGTCGAGTCCAAGACCAGAGATGGTCGAGTCCGAGTCGAGACCGAGACCAGTGAGGGTTGATTACCTAATTTACTTTTATTTACTTAGAGAAATCCTTTTTTTATTTTACTGAATTTACTTAGAGATTAAAAAATATGATCAGTTTAGGGTAAAAAGGCCACATAGTAGGTGGTGTTAAAAGTAATTTTATTACAATTTGTCATGCGCAATTGCGCACTAGAAAATCACCAATCACTGGGCGTGTCAATCAATTAAAAAAAATATTTTATTAACATACATTAATAATCATGAAAAATATTTTGAATTGAACTCGAGTGGACTCGGGAATAAGTCAGAGTCCTTAAAAAAAAAATGTTCGAGTACGAGTCAATTCCGAGTCCAAATGCACACGAGTCCATGACAAGACCAAGACCATTAAAATATGGTCTCGAGACCGAGACGAGTCCGAGTCTCGAGTACTACAACACTGCTTCTTACAGCTTTTAACCCAATGCAGAAACCTTTTATTTGAGACTGGGGCCTATGAATGGTGGTCAAGGTGGAAACTCTTGAGTAGATACAAGCCTATTGCAAGATTGTGCTGAAATAGTGATCTGATTTCACCTGATATACCCGTGTGTGTTTGTGTGTGCTTGTTTTTCTATTCCTGTTCCTCACAATTCCTTCAACCTGAATCCACACTGACTGTGGTCTAAATTGAGGAAACAAGCTTATAAATCAAACAGAATGAGTTTTTTTTTTAAAATGTAAAAATGCAGAAAGTTGTGTGTGGGTTTAGTGGTCGGGTTAGTGTAAGGTGAGATCATAATATTATAGCCTACAGTTTTTGTACACTATAAAAACCATTACGTCTGTGGAAGTCTCCTCAAAGATAGGGAACCAGACGTGTATGTGTGTGAAGATATTTATGTGTGTGCGAGTGTGCATGGGTGCTTGCATGTGGGTGGGTGAGTATATTTAGCATAAAGGTGCCTTATTCTCTCATTGTTTTCTCTCATACATGGATGTATTTGGGTAAAGTGGCATCTTTAAAAATCGTTTAAACCTAGCTTTTGCAGAAGAAACCTTTGCCAGGTTGCCAGACAAAATGCTTTCTTTGTCCTCTAGTGGAAAATCTACACTTTAAGCCAGGACTTCAACTACTTCAACAACTAGGCCAAATGGAAAAAAAAAAACAATCTTTTGGGCATAAACACTTCCATGTGAATGTGCCCAGGTGATATGTTGCTTGGTAACTGAAATCAGACTTTAGTTAGGTGAAATAACTGTCCTTGGTGAGATTGTTTATTCTGAATATTAATAAATTTCATTTTAAGTTTTAGAAATATAAAATTCCAAACTCTGCTGTTAGGCTGAAGTAATTTTCAAGGCTGTTTTTTTTTTTTTTTTTTTTTTTGTCTCGCTCTCCACTTTATGTTCTGCATTATCCATGGTGCAATCAATGAAAAACACAACCTCTTGTGGTTTTGGCTGTAGGTTTTGAATAAATATTATTGATGAATTAAAACAACAGTTTAAGGGAATGCTCACCCATCATTTCATCATTTACTCACCCAAATATTCCAATCAAGACTGACTGACTTCTGCAGAATGGAAACAAAGGATCATTTGGATAATGGTTTCAACTACAAGAAAACACTGATCTCCACAGTGGTGGTGCTCCTCTTTCCTTCAGGGATTTACTCATTAACGTCAGTGTCATCACTAATGGTCGCAGTCACTCTGAGCGCTGTTCAGCACAGGAGATTTTGTTGTGGAGCATCCAACCTTGAGACATTTTTCAAGCCAACAATTTTGTGATCCTTAATATTTAAAAGACGTTCAAAGAATGTGTTCAGAAAACATTCAACAAATGACTATGTTTTGTTTTCATGATCATTGTTTTAAAGTACTTATCCTTACACTTTGCTATAACCTTTCCATTAACCTTATTCATTTTAAGTTAGTTCTAAGAACTTTTTATCCCAATGTTATAAGAACATTAAAAAAACCTTACAGACAATGCGTAAATTATGTTTTTGTGGTAACCTTTTGAGAGCATTAATATGATTTAACGAGAGAACCTGTCAGAACATTAGCTAAAGTTAGAGTTTGAACGTTCCTTGTTAGCTGGGTTTATTTGTGGTTATTCTTCAGATTTCAATGTCATTGTGAACCTGCTATTAAAGCTCTGTGGTTTAAATAAATGAATTCTAGCTATTAATGGACAGCTGTTAAAACTAAACCAATAATAATTGTATTATATTCTTCAGCGAAAGAGGTAAAAATATATGGGCAAATCCATGTCAGATCAACCAAATTTTAGAAACGTTGTCAATCCAAATATTTGATTTTGTCTAATTTTGGGGGGAAAAACAACATCTGTTACTTTAATTTCCTGTTATCACTGTAAAGCTGTTTTGAAACTATCTATATTGTTAAAAGCTCTATATAAATGAAGGTGACTTGACTTGAAATATTAATGGACATAAATGATGATCATTAGTCCCCAACATATTTTGTTGTATTGAATATCTGAACATGCATTATATCAAAAGAAAGAACATTGCCTCTGCTTTTAAACAAACAAACAAAACTTGTTAGCCTCATGCATTATTTTTTAATCAATTCTTGAATGTTGCTAAGTTTCATTAAAAAGAGCAACATTTTGAGCAAAAAGCTGAGAAAATCGCACATTTGTCCAAGACTATATCCAGATCTAGATGGAGTCGATCGAGTCCACCACGAGCCACAGTCCTACAGCTCGCCCTGGGTCGTGTCAATTGCTTAATCGATTGGAATCAATTGAAATCCCCCTGAGCATTGGAAGGGGTTTCTTCCCTGTTTTTCCTTTCTAGCTGAGGTCCAGACAATATTTTCTTGGATACATTACATTTCCATCTGGGCTGCAGTAGTACTACAAAAGAAGCAGTCAAAATAGTGATCTCAGATGATGACCCAAAGCAGTGGTGTCTGATAATGTTAAAAAAAAAAAAAAAAGATAAGGAAAAAGTCTGTTGAGCCCAATTGGATATGAATATTAAAGGGTAAGATATTGTATCTGCCTAATATTATTGATATAACTACAGTATCTATGGCAGAAGGCCATGTGACAGAAAATATATCGTTCAGGGTTTCCTTATGAACTCATTTTTATATTTTGCTCAAAACAAGTATCTTATAAAAACAAACAATGCACAGAATAATCAAAACACTATCATCATGAGCAGAAAACAAAGCTATTAGTACTTTCAAACTTTTAGTGGTCTTTCCATCTACAAATAATTTCCCCAATTATATCATTGTTTATTATGAAATGCTGATTGATAATGCTAAATGTAAATGAAAAAAAAACATTTTTATTGTACAGTGAGAGTCTCAATGACAGATAAAAGTAGCCTAATAGTAATAATATTTATAAGAAATTGTAAAATTCTCATTTTCTGTGTTGTTAAAGGGTTAGTTCACCCAAAAATGAAAATTAAGTCATTAATTACTCACCCCCATGCTGTACCAACCCCGTAAGACCTTCGTTCGTCTTCGGAACACAAATGAAGATATTTTTGATTAAATTTGAGAGCTGTATAACTACCACATAGACTGCCTAAGGGACTGGCTCTTGACGGCCCAGAAAGTCAATGAAGAAAATGTTTAAATATTCCATGTGACTACCGTGGCTCAACTATATGTTTATCAAGCGACGCGAATACTTTTTGTGCGAAAAAACAAACAAAAATAACGAGTTTATTCGACTATTTCTTTTCTTCCTTGTAGGCCAGAAACGAGACTTCCTTAGATTTCCACGACGCATGCACGAGAATTGCGATCTGAAGTAGTGTAAGCTGGTGTAAGCAGAGCGCAATTCTCGCGCATTTCTATTTCACAGTAAACCTGCAGTCAGCTGGCTGCATCTCTATGACTATGACTCTGTATTGTGTTACATGTTAGATTGTTTGTGACGTTGTGAACCTTGCACAGCTAACTCATTTTCTCTTCGTCCCCAGGCTCTGCCTCCATGCTGAGATGTGTGCTAGCGACCTGTCCAATAGGCTGAGCTTGCTCTCTTTACCATGTAACTGCAAAAAGAAGAATGCTTTATTCCTCCACTAGTCTGCCTGTGGCTTCAGGGCCGCCCATCGCCACCCTGCCCCCCACCGAGGGCGCTGACCCAGCCAGCGGGTACAAGAGCCATGGAGAACTCCTCCGCTAAAGCCAACAGCTCGCTGGAGCCCCGGACTCTATCGGGATACGTAACGCCTTCGGCAGTCGGGCCGGACCCGGTTCAGGGCTTGAACCTGCCCCTTCAAGTGTTCTTCGGGTTGGTCATCATCTGCGTGCTGCTGCTGGCCTTCCTCGGAAACATGGTGGTGTGCGCCATGGTTTACCAGAGAGCAGCCATGCGCTCCGCCATTAACATCTTGCTGGCCAGTCTCGCCTTCGCCGACATGATGCTAGCAGTCCTTAACATGCCTTTTGCCCTGGTCACAATGGTGACCACGAACTGGATCTTCGGAGAGGTGTTTTGCCGCGTGTCAGCCATGTTCTTCTGGATGTTCGTGATGGAGGGAGTCGCGATCTTGCTGATCATCAGCGTGGACCGTTTCCTAATCATCGTGCAAAAGCAGGACAAGCTGAGTCCGCGCAGGGCCAAAGTGTTAATCGCAGTCTCGTGGTCTCTGTCTTTCTGCTTCTCTTTCCCCCTTTCCGTCGGCCATCCGGCCCTGGACATTCCCCCCAGAGCGCCTCAGTGTGTTTTCGGGTACACGGCGGACCGGGGCTACCACGCCTACATGATGCTGATAATGCTGGTGTTCTTCTTCGTACCGTTCCTGGTGATGCTCTACACGTTCATGGGCATCTTGAGCACACTCCGCCACAACGCGCTCCGCATCCACTCCCACACGGACTCGGTGTGCCTCAGCCAGGCCAGCAAACTGGGTCTGATGAGCCTCCAAAAACCCTTTCAGATGAACGTTGACATGAGCTTCAAAACACGTGCCTTCACCACCATCCTCATTCTGTTCTCGGTGTTCACCGCATGCTGGGCTCCGTTCGCCACCTACAGCCTGCTGTCCACCTTCAGTCGGCCCTTCTACTACAGGCAGAACTTCTTTGAGATCAGCACGTGGCTGCTGTGGATTTGCTACCTCAAATCAGCTCTGAATCCTCTGATCTACTACTGGCGTATCAAAAAGTTTCGCGACGCCTGCCTTGACCTGATGCCCAAGTACTTCAAGTTCCTGCCGCAGCTGCCCGGCCACACGAGGAGACGGATCCGCCCCAGCGCCGTTTATGTGTGCGGCGACCATCGCTCCGTGGTGTAGTGGAGGACCTCTAAAGCGTCTTTTGTAATTCTTATCAGGCTGTGATATGTTTGGTCTTTTTAGCTGTAAAAGATTGTACAGATGAGAAACTACTTTAATTGCACAATGTTTTTTATAGGGTTTAGAATTTATTAGAAGTTTGTTCAGTACATACCAGTCAGGTGCTGCTATATTTGGTGAAAATGTGCAATCTTCTGTTTAATGCCATTGAATGTTATATTTTCTGTGCTGTATTTGTTTTTTTTCCTGGCTTTGTGATCCAGTTTACACTTTAACATTTCTATTTAATTTTGTTATTGATTGTTCAGCTATTCTTTTTTCTTCTTTTTTTTTTTTCTAGGGCTGCACCAATTATGAAAATTTTGCCCTGACAATACTTTATATATGAAAGCCGATAACCGATATATTGGCCGATAACTCTAAATCCAAATCCAAATTTTTATATCGATTTTGAAAGCCTGATTACAAAATACAAAAGTCTCACCATTAAAAGCCATGTCCCAAGCACTTTAACATAAATCAAACATATGCAGTACAGTTTAAAAGTTTTAACTTTTCTAAAGTAAAACTTTTGTAATAAAAAAAAAAACTGCCTTAAAAATAAATAAACTGCCTAAATAATTCAAAAAAGTCGTTGTGCAACATACTTGCATATGCCATGGATAAAATAAGATAATTCATTATTTATCAGCTTTAAGATATATATATACACGATATCATTATAAATAACAATAAAAAGGAACATATTTTGTCCGATACCGATATGGTGGCCGATATATCGCGTGGAAAAAAGGCAATTGACAAAGGTGATTATTCAGCATGTTCCAATCTGATGAGACTTTGTGGAAATACAGTACATGATTTTTATTTTATTTTATTTTTTTCAATTGTGATTTCCATTTCTGGAGGTGAATAAAATCATGGAAATGAATCAAATCGTAATTCATGGATATTCCATTCTAGTTATTGCTTGTTGTGAGTGTAATCGTGAAGGGATTTTTTCTCTTAATGTCATGAATGAATGGAAATGTCAAGAAGTTTATTGGTCAAAAGTGGGATAACCCTGTCAGTATTTGTGTACAGTATATATCGTATGAACAACAGCTGACCAACTGCTTGTTGGTGACATGGCGTTAAAAGTCAATAAACTAAAACAACAACAAACAACCAACCACAGATATGTTTCTTATATATTTTTAAAATGTCAAACGGCAGGCATCTGAGGATCTGTTTCATCCCTCTGTCAGGAACAGGGACCATGGGAGCCTTTGTAGTGCGCCGCTTCATTCAGATGATGATTTCTTTCTAAAGGTAAACCTTGAAGCTTTGTGAGTCTGAAAGGTAATGTTCCTTCACTAGTGTCCCTCGTGGGCCTGATTATTCCTCCAGCCACCGCTAATGAGGATGCTGTGGGCTTTAGAAGCTCATCAGACCCAATCTGTGGAACTCGATTACTTAGCAACAGTATGTATTACTTGGCAACTGGCTTGTGTTACTTAGAGTTGGCACACACTCTGGTGGGAGTTTTTGTTTTTTGGAGAAGCTAACACTGACATTTAGTCAGAAGTCTTTCAGAATAAAAAAAAATAGTAGGAAATTCCTCCCATGCTTCATTAAATGACAATTATTAAAGGAGTAGTTCACTTTTTAAAAAACACTTTTGCTGATAATTTACTCACCCCCATGTCATCCAAGATGTCCATGTCTTTCTTTCTTCAGTCGAAAAGAAATGAAGGTTTTTGATGAAAACATTCCAGGATTTTCTCTTTAATGGGAACCAAACGGTTCAAGGTCCAAATGAGAGTGTCAGTGCAAACTGTTCAAAGGGCTTTAAACGACACCATACGATGAATAAGGGTCTTATCTAGCGAAACGATCTGTGATTTATAAAAATGAATAAAAAAGTTTAAGTTTTAGAAGCACAAATGCTCGTCTTGCTCTGTTCTGTGATGAGCGTTCGTGACTCTCCTGTTCGAACTCATTCATCAAAATAAACAAATCTTTTTTCGAGTCATGACTCGAAGGGTCCTAGATAAGACCCTTATTCATCGTGAAGAAAATGTTTAAATATCCCAAGTGACTACCGTGGCTCAACTATATGTTTATCAAGCGACGAGAATACTTTTTGCGAGAACTGAACTGAAGTAGTGTAAGGAGATCGCAATTCTCGCGCATGCGTCGTGGAAATCTAAGGAAGTCTCGTTTCTGGCCTACAAGGAAGAAAAGAAATAGTCGAATAAACTCGTTATTTTTGTTTGTTTTTTCGCACAAAAAGTATTCGCGTCGCTTGATAAACATATAGTTGAGCCACGGTAGTCACATGGAATATTTAAACATTTTCTTCATTGACTTTCTGGGCCGTCAAGAGCCAGTCCCTTAGGCAGTCTATGTGGTAGTTATACAGCTCTCAAATTTAATCAAAAATATCTTCATTTGTGTTCCGAAGACGAACGAAGGTCTTACGGGGTTGGTACAGCATGGGGGTGAGTAATTAATGACTTAATTTTCATTTTTGGGTGAACTAACCCTTTAAAGTCTTTGAAGCTGCACTAAAGATTCAGCGATGTCCATTATATGGAGAAAAATCCTGGAATGTTTTCATCAAAAACCTTAATTTCTTTTCGACTGAAGAAAGAAAGACATGGACATCTTGGATGACATGGGGGTGAGTAAATTATCAGCAAAAGTTTGTTTAAAAAGTGAACTACTCCTTTAAATAGGCTATATCATTATATTATAAATCTCTGGTTTTTATCATCCGTTTCAGGAAATAGTATAGCTGGTAACATCCACGGTTAATTCCAACAATAAAATCATATGAATTATTAAAAAATACATTTGCATCAAATTTTTATTATATTTTTAAATGTGTCCACTTGAACAACACATCTATCTTTTTTGTCACCTCACTTCAAATTCAAGAAATATCAACCACTTGCAACTGCGAGTAGTGGCTGGATGTGGCCAGGCTGTTCACTGGTTTCTATTAGCTCATTTTTATACTATATTTTGTTTATTGTTGCTGTTTGAGCATAAACAACATATGCAAAGTTACAACGCTCAAAGTTCAAAGCAAAGGGAGATATTTGCTTTTAAAGAAATCGTTTTTTAAGGACAACAAACCGCTGGTAGGAACTACATGAGCTTCCTCCCGGGTTAGTGACATCACTAACCCTAAAATTTATATATACTCCACATCAGTAATGTAAATTCATCAACTAACCCGTTCAGAGACGTCCTGTTGCATTCTACATGTTGTCACTTCTTAGTCGCTCCATCTTTGTCAGACTCCGGTTTAAACAAAAGCCAGAACAGTTTCAGACATTTTAGCGTGTCTGCGTGAGGTAATCGCAGCTGCTAAAGCTAGTGTTATACTTTCCACGTCTGCAATTGCGCTAGGGTACGCGTGACGTAAAAATCATCATCGGAGGGTCTGCCCGGAGGTTCCTTGCGGACGTCCATGTGCCTCTCATTTTTTGTGACCACTACTAGATTAAAACCGTGAATGCGCTGTGGGGGGGGATTAAGCAAATTAAGCAGTAATTTCCCTCCATAATTACTGGAGGGAAAATTAAGCAAAGTATGTCGGCAGAAGTAGAAATATTAATATTAGGGACCGCTTTGTCAAGGCCTCTTTTTTACAGTCTTGACTGGAACAAAGCATGTCGATCTTGCAATATCTTTGAGATGAAAGTATGCTTTTACATGACTACTGAAACTAAGGTCTGACTCTAGAGACACACCAAGATTCTTAGCTGATTTTTAGTTGTTTGACCCCTAGACTGGTACGCGTTCACCTTGATCTTTGTTTCCTTTTTTGTTTAACTGAAGAAAGTTTTGGCACATCCAACTGTTAGTTTCATCAATGCATTGGCACAGGGAGTGAATTGGGCTGTAGTTAAATTGTTAGGTGCAGAAAAGAAAGAAAAGGGAATATGAAAAGCAATGTATAAAAATTTGTCCAAGCAAAATTTGTTAAGCTTAACCTATCACTTTTATCTCTGTAAGTCTTGAGGTTAATCGACATTTGACATTTCTGCCTGAGAGAGCAAAGTGATTAATGTTAATGTCCATTCATTTCCGAGTGTCTCTGAAAGAGGGATTTCACTGGGCCAGTTTGTAATAACTTTCATTCTAGTATATATGAATATGCTATGCTTAATCATATATTGTGCTCTTGCTGTCTGAATGTATTGTTATAAATCGAGCTTTAGAGTGTGTTGTAGTTTTATTTGTGTGTTCAGTGGGAGAGGGTCTTAACATTTTTCTTATCAGGTATTTAACTATGTGTTCACACTCTCACTCTCAACTTCTGTTGTTGTTCTCAAAAAACAAAGTTACACATTATCTCCCTACCATTCCCATGGCAACAAGAAGCGAAATAGTATATAATAAATCGGTCCCTGAATATTGCAAAGAAAAGGGCAAAATTACGAAAAAGTAAAGGAGAGCAAATTGCGCACATGTGCAATAAAAGCAATCTGGAACAACCACGTAATCCTGCCTCTGCGTCCTGCAAAGCTTCTGTAACACAGTTTCAGACAACCTACATGTGCAAATCCATCATGCAGATCATATCAGACCTCCAAATATACATACCCTATTTGAGTAAACCTTTTCTTCGTTCTGACATCAATGATGTAAAAATGTATTTCTGGGTAAAATTATCAAGTAAACAATCAAATGTAATATTTCACTGTAAGAGCACTTGATGTGCTTTCGGAACAATCAGTGTATATTTATAATTGGTACCCATTAGATGTAGTGCAGTGTTGCGGGAAAATATCCATTTACACGACGGCACATTTTAATCAGGTTGCAGGAATGTGGGCGGGTGTGAAATCATAATTATGTGGCTCGCTGTTTGTTATTGTATTTATAGAATCCGAAATATGAGTCCTTCTGTGAATTTGTTTGTCCATCAATCCATTTTCTTTACCTAGTTATCCCTAATGGTCCCAGCATACCTCAGGCCTGAACAGGGTTATAGCACACAATTACATTCACTCGATGAATTTAGACAGATCGACGGAGGTCTACCTTCTCGATTTGTATCACCATCTAAATGGTGGCTTTTAAGTAGTGTGAATGTGGCTTTAAATCGCGTTCAAATGCCTCCACAGCTCAGGCATTTCTTTTATTCTTGTCATGTATGTAACATACTTTAATGCTTATGCCCTTAACTATACCAGATAATTTTAGTTTACTGAAGGTGTGGCCTTCATCAGCATCTGAATCGAATAGCAGGCATTACTCACTGCCAGGTGCACATTGGTTGTATAAATCAGTGGTTTGAAAACAATAGGCAGTGTCCTCAGTTTCAATTTCAAATGTAAATTCATGTTCCAGTTTTATCTAACAAGGATACATTTTCCAGGTTAAAAAACAACAACAACATATCTACACTATTAAAATCACAACATTTTGTGTATATTATATTTGTGAATTTGAAGTTACAGATATTATTTTTAATGATCAGATTTCAGTTCCTTTCAGAAATAGCATTGCCTCCTCTAACGTGACTTTTCCCCATTCATTCTCTATCAAATCCACAGTAGATGTAGACTGAATCTGAAATCAATTTTTTACCGGCCCAGCTCCGGTCCACACAGCCCCTCTTCCCACGGCCCACATGCCTCAAAACCCTGGAATGGCGAAGATTTAAATTAAATATAAGGGCCAGCCACACATGGGCCATAACTGGTCCGAGTCTCAGACAATGACTAACCCATAACTGGCCTTGAATGACCCTGAAAAGGTTTTAGTGCTGGTACCGATTCTCAAGTAAACTATAGAAACCCCAAAACTGAGCCATGAAAAAAAGTACAAAACCGGTAAATGACTCACCTACGGCTGCCAATCCAAAACCTTAAAATATCTTATTTTGCATAAAGTGCCAAATAACTTTTACAGAAATTTTCAATAAACGTT